TATATATATATATATAAATATATATATATATATATATATCGTCACAAACAGAACTGCCCGGTAAACCGTAGGCAGAGAGAGAGAGAAGAGGACAACAAACGAGGGGCTGTGAGAAACTGTTTCGTCGGAGTTTGACAGACTCATCAGGATATATATATATATGACGATATATATATATATATATCTTGCATGAACGGTGCACGACGTCATCCTCGACCCATAATGTGTGATGTGTTCACGACTCTTGTTTTTTGTTTTGTGTTTCCAGATATCACGTCGCTCAGTCTGTGGTTGTGTCATGAATCCTCATAATGACCGAAAAAAATATTCGCTCCGTGAGCATATGCGCCGTCTGCCACCAGGCATAACGGACGACCTTGACAAGTCAATTGCAGAAGGCAATGAAGGCAAATATGAACTCGACGACATAGATAAACATATAGGGGATGTGACAAACGACCTCAACAACGCACGTGCTGTGCTATCGACATCGTATTCCCGGGTGCAAACAATTGTGTCGTCCTTGCGAAAAAAAAATTAATGGAATTGGATAACCGGGAGGCTCTTTGCACAATACGTGAGCAACGACTGTTGTGCGAGGAGGGCAAGCCACATGTCGATTCCACTAACCATTCGAATTTGTTCCTTGTATCGGGCCGCGAATTCATGGCTGCACTGAAGTCCAACTCGGTTTCTCTTTGCCACAAGTTGCGGCCTCCCTATCAGGAAGCACGACCCAGACGCCTGACTCAGACAGTAAATCCCGGGACAACTCTGGGTCGTATGTTTCCGTGTCGTGTCGGGGTTCGGGTCATGACGAGGAGCATAACTCTGTTGGCTGCGAAGGACGAAATTCTCAAAAGTCGAAGAAACAAAAACAGTTCGGTCGTTGTCCCGGATCCTCGAACTTTGACTCGTGGATCTAGATGAAAGCCTAGTGCTCGGAAATAACAACCCCGACGATGTTGGAGTTGTAATGTCAAAGTTGAAGCCTCGAAACGGTGTGTGGAGGCTTGTCGTTTGTCCGCTATACTCTATCTGCAAGATCGAACCCTTTTATGGATATTTGATTCCCATGTTCCGCGCACCGACACTGACTTCCACCGCATCTGTTGCAGATACTCACGACGCGACACTATAATGGAGCAGCCACAACCTCAAGCACCCATCATTGAAGATGATGGGGACATGGTGTACGGCCGTCGACCAAGACATAGAGTTGTGCGCGGTCGAGGGGGCCCCGGGCTTGGGCCAGCAGTCGTCGCGGCACGTCGCCCACGACCTCCTCCCCCGCAAATGAACGGGGATGAAATACGAGCAACATGGCCGCATCTTGCGTCTTTGGTTGAGACCGCAGGGTACAGGGAGCTCGCGAACCTCTGCGGTTACACTCGCCGTCAGAGACTGCCGGCGGAATTCGAGGAGGCGATGCGTATGAGGTGGCCTAACCCGCATAACGATGGTTACGTCGGCTTTATTCCTGATCCATGCGCTCCAATCGATAATGATAACCCTCGCCGTGGGTAAATGCTAGAGAGAGAGAGAGAGAGAGAGAGAGAGAGAGAGAGAGAGAGAGAGAGAGAGAGAGAGAGAG